TTTTGTACATCACCTGCTCAATGCTCGTTTAAGTTCTGTTACAAATTGCACTGCAGCTCAATTGCAGCTCAGCTGCAGCAGCGATGCCATTTTTTAGCAACCACAGAAAGCGCATCGATTACCCAGCAGCTCGGCCAGAGAGGAGCTGGCTGGCTCTGCCAGAGCTAAAGTAGAAGCCACAAATTGCAAACTACGCAAAAACCCATTCACTGCACACGTAACTCTTAACCTGCCCATGGACACTCACTCCCACGCCCACGCTCACGCCCACTTCTTTGGCTGCTGGCTTTAACTAAAACACACAAAAGTCCATTTGGCTAAAAAGCATCTTCTCAAGAGCAAGCAAAAAACCCAACTTAGAACCTACTTTTAGTAAAAGTTTTTTCCTCCTTTTGCATTATTTCGGCAGCAGTTTTATATAACACCTGGGGCAGGTAAGTGCAGCCTTGCAAACAGACCACAAAAGCAATCGACAAAATAGGAAAAACAAAATGTAAAAAGCCCAGAAATATGTTTTTCCTTGAATTGCATTGTGTTGTTGGCTTTTTATAAATATTTGCGCCATTAAAACTGATTTTTTTCTCTCTCTCCCGTTTGTTTTCTCTTTTTATTACGATTTATTTTTTATGCCCTCATATATTATATGTCTCAACTGATGTTTGTTTACTTCTTCGTCATTTGACTGTTCCAATTCGTTTTGCATTGAGGTTGGGCAGGGTTTTTATACCCTGAACCCATTTTCAATGGGAAATCAGGGTATAATGGTTTTGTTGAAATGTATGTAACAGGGAGAAGGAGGCGTGGCAGACCCCACAAAGTATATATATTCTTGATCAGGGTGACGAGCTGAGTTGATTTGGCCCTGTCCGTCTGTCTGTCCGTCTGTCCGTCTGTCCGTCTGTCCGTCTGTCCGTATGTATGAACGCGTCGATTTCAGAAGATATAAGAGCTAGAGACTTCAAATTTTTTTAAAATGTCCGTAATTACAGCGCGCATATCAAGTTTATCATTAAAAATCGATAACTCATCCCGATCTTTTTTATCGATAAAAAACCTTATCGAAACCCAGTCATAAAATTATATCTTCTACACCTTTATTGCTAGAGTCTCCAAATTTTTAATGTATGCTTATATGCAATTTATACAATTTCGGTTTTTGTTAAAATTTACCCCCCACCTCTAAATTCACCCCCTCACCCTCACTTTTGTAAAAAGCGTATTTCAAATACTAGAGACTTGTGCTTTGGCAAGTACATGCATATTCATGTTATAATCATAATCTAAAAGTTTCATGAAGATCGTACGTCCATAAAAAAGTTATTAAACAATTAAGTTCTCATAGTAAGCGCACACTGCAGCCCATGCGTGTTTATGCGTGGTTGCTTGTATGTGTATGTGTGTGTGTGTATGCGTTTGTGTCTGTATGCGTGTGTGTGTGTATGTGTGTCTATATGCGTGTGTGTGTATGTTTACCTGTGTGTGCGTACGAGCGTGTGTGTGTGTGTGTGTGCGTGTTTCTTGTGTAAGCTGAAAGTCGCGAAAAAGTATTGAAATATCTATTGCTCCAAGGGTTCAGGGGATCTCGTAGTCGAGCAGTCTCGACTAGAGCTTTCTTACTTGTTTTTTTTTATATTTGTGTGGAAGAACAAGCGATTTGCATTGTTTATCGATATTTTCGGATTCTTCCATTAAAAACTTGACCTAATTTTTGTTATTTTTATTATTTTTATATTTGAATTTGGTTATTGACAATTACGTAAGACTACTGCCGTCGTCATCGTTGTCTATTGTAAATGATTTCTTTTCAGTTAGACACAATGTTTAGTCAAGGCCGTAACTAATCCATACCATTCACTCCTCTTATTCAGCGGCTCTCCGCTGCAGCATTGCGAAAATTTGATTTTGATTTTTCGATTCAGGCAGAAAAACAAAATACAGAAAATACACAGAAATTGAAGCATTCATTAGATCTCTTCAGGCAAAACCAAACAATAAATTGCCAATCGTCATGAAAACTAACGAAAATACAAAACACAAACTGAAAATCTAAAAACCCCACGAAGCGCAAAGCAATTGGACATGCAATACTCGAAAGTACTCGTAATGTCATATTTGTAATTAAAATTAACATCGTTTTCCATTAACAAACCGTGAAGTTGTTTATTGAGATATCTCGCTGAGTTTCGTTTGGGGATTGTTTTGTAGGCGAGTACAACTTTGCTGGGAAACTCTGTGAATTTTCTGAGAGTCATTGGCTATCTATCTAGATATATAATAGAAAATATACTATATACTAAACTGAGCTGTTTTTCATTTTACATAAATGAATAAAATAAATTTTCGATTAGTTATAATCTATGAATACATTATGCATTATAAATATGTTCAATTATAAATTAACAAGAGTAGAAATTAGCTAAGAAAAACTATTTATGATATTTATCATAGGACCATTGTTTCCTTTTTTAAATAAATAAATAAATAAAATATATATATTTCGTAAAATACTATTCAAAATAAAAAGTCGTTTAAGTTTAATATATATTATCTATCTAATAAATAATTTCAAAATAATGTAATATAAATTGAACAACATAATATTTATTAAGTTACGACTGCGATACAAATTTCTTTTATAATCTAAACTCTTTTGAAATTGGTGTGCCAGTCGTAAAAAATTTAATCATTTAACAGTTTCCCATACTCCTTAAATGAAAATTTCAACAGTTTTATAACAGTGCAACTATTGCATTTACTTTCTAGATTTAAAATTTGCCACACAATGAAACTACTAAATCTTTTTTAAACAAGCCCAAACCACAGACTACCTATCTCTCTTCATCTCTCTTCCTGTCTCTCTCCCGTCTCTTTCACTCACTCTTAATCCAATGCCCAAATTGACATTCATATGCGATTTATAAGATGCAAACTAAACGCTTAAAGCGCTTCAGACAGGTCATATATCAACTGGAGCAGGCAGCAGACAAACTGTCAGCTGTGGCTCTCCCTCTCACACAGTCTCTCCATCTCAGTTGCACTCACTGTGGCGCGAATCAAAAACCAAACGCCGACAGAGAGGCGCAAAAGTCGAAACTCGTAAATAAAAATGTCAAATGAATTTCCATAAGAAAGCACGAAGAAGAAAGAAAGAAAAAAGGCACAAACTGAAAGTGGAAATTCGAGCGAAAAATGCGCATAGAAAAAAAATAAATAAATAAATAAACAAATATTAAATGGAAATGGTCACAAAAAGTGTCTGTCAACGCATTTATTTCATTTTTTTAGAGCTCAACATTCATGAATTGTGAAGTGAGTGAAAAAGTAAAGTAAAACCGAAATACAAAGACAATGCCCAGGCACAGTTCAAAGTTGGTTTGAAAAATTTGCCTGGCCAGCTAATTGAGAAACAGATGGGAGCACCGGGCGGGCAGTGCGAGCTAGTTGGCTCTTGGCTAGCAGTTGACTGCAAGATAAACCCTAACACGTTTTGACCACACTCAGCTGGACGCAGTCGATCGAAACTCGCTAAACAGGCTTTTGAAAAAGCTTTGAATGCGGCTGCTGCGGTTGCCTCAGCTGCTGCTGAGATGCTCAGGCTGCTGATGCAAGTGTTGCAGGTTTCTTGAAGATCAGGGTCCAGGCCAACTATTTGTTGTTGTTGTTGTTGTCGCCAAACGCATGGCTGCTCCTTGTCGTTGGTGTTGTTGTTGTTGTTGTGGCTGTGGGCACTTAAATGCTGATTGTTAAGGTTAATGCACTTGAGTTCGTTGTCGCTTCTTTGCACACAAAAAAAAAAAAAAACACCAACAACTTGAAGATCACAGATTTTCCACAGCTCTTATGTGCATGCACCAATAAATGCTCATAAAGCCTAATTAAGTAAAGCTCCATTACCCAGCTCTAAGCCTTGGCTAAAATTTACAAAAGAAAATCAAAATAAAATTTTTTTGTTTTTTTTTAAATATTTTTTTGTGAACACTTTGTGCAGTTTTCACTTTAACAAGCGGCTAACGCAGTTTATCTCGCTTCGGGACAAAATTATTACGCATACGCATCGTTGCACAGGCAGCGAATGCAGCGCCGATGTCACAATGCTGCTGCTGTTGTTATCTTTTGACATGATGTGCCTTGTGCACTTTCACTTCTTTGGCAGCCGCTTAATTAAACAAACATATTATTTAACTGCCTGCCATTTAGCGAAAGAAAAAGTAGTTGCTATTCAAGAAAAAATATTTTGTAGAGATTTTTTGATGGTGGAAAAGTGATTTCAAAACGAAATTTCATTACATTTGACAAGTCATTGTTTTATAGCAAAGATTATAAAATAATATTAATATCAATTTACATTTTGAATGAACAGCTGAAACCTTTTTTTTTTTTCTGTCAATTATTTGAATAGTGTAATAAATTAGTATTTATAGCTGCACGTACGGCCGTGCTAAGCTGATTTATTATCAAATCTCTTTGAATATATCAACAGCTTAATGTAATTGATTACATTAACTGCTGCTGAAATATAGTTATTGAATGGAGTTTTACTCTTGCTTGGTCAGGCTTTAAGCGAACTATTTATTAGTATTATGAAAATATATTTCTGCTTCTTTATTTAGAAATATTTATATTTTGGCACGTGGCATGTATTATGTATTCTTGGAAAAAATATATTTTGGTTTCAATTTACATAGAAATTTTCATCGCTTTACCAAGTTAATCAAATAAATGCTTTGCTATAATAAATACTCTTTTGCATGAGTGAGTGATTCCAGGTTTAAGATGAATTTCTATACAAAAAATATGTTAGGCTCTAGCTGCAAAAAATATATCAAAAAATATAATTTTTAAGAGCGTGAATTAAATTATTTAATTTAATTATCTGTCATTTTACAAAACAAATTCTTCAAATGATTTGTTATACATTTTTTTTTAGTTTTAATTTTTATTATTACTTTTATTCTAATTTTACTATATTTTTTTGTTTTTTTTTTTTTTTTTAGCTTTTATTTATAATTTTCCTTTTATTTACATGTATTTATGTCTTTTCTTTTAATTTCCTCTTGCCTATATTATTTAATATAGGGTATCACATGAGTTGACCATTTTTTATGAACATTTCCACTTTTATTAATAGTTTCGCTCGCGCGTTTTTCACTTAATTGATTTGAGCGTGTGGAACAACTAAATTTAAACAAATATTTGTGCCACATGCGCTTCAATCGTTTTCCATATGGATATAAATCGATCTTCCCTATTTGATGAATGCCATCAGAAATTTTCCGTTAATTTTGGGGAATATATGCAAATCGTATATCGGAAAGAAATTCGCATGATTTTCGCTTTGTTTATGCTTGAGCACACGTTTCGTGCGTACATAAAACTTTTTATATTTTGGTCAGTTTTATGCCTGTGCTTAAATGGGTCAATGTTGTCAGCGTTTCTTAGCGGATTTGGGTCAGAAATGTGCCTTGCATACGAGTCGCAAATAAATCATAATTATTATTATTACTAACCTTTGCTGTGGCCATAAAAGCTACGAGACGCACACCGAGAGGAAGTTCTTAATTAAAGTTGAGAAAAGAGTTGGAAGACAAACATATATACACACATATATAAATATATCTATATAGTTTTTTTTTTTTTTTTTTGTGGGTTTTTGTCTTCTGCTTTTTACTTTTTTTTTTTTTTTATTAAAAACTGACAAAGGCGAATGCGTTAAAGTGCCTAGAATTCTTTGTTATGGTCGAGTAATTTTTGTTGGTTACATTCGAGTTGCTGCAAAGGTCAGCAGCGGGTGTGACCTCTCTGTGTGGAGTGTGTAATAACAGTTATGTTATAACAGTAACGGAAATAAAAGAAAAAAATAGAAATGGAAAATTGCGGAAATTTAAAAACCTGTTGCCCCTCTTATATGAAAAAAGAAAAGGTTTTCACTGCAGAGCTATATCAAATGCCCTTTGGAGTATAAGAATCTAAAGTATTTGGTTGACATATTTACCTGAAAAGAGAAGAAAAGGTGAGCCTTGATTAATATAAATGGAATTTAAAGCATTAAGAAAACTTAATATTTGCTTAAGAATAAATGGAGAGTTATAAATGAAAACAGACAGAAAGAGAGAGAGGGATAAATCAGAAGTACTGTTTCTGCCTTGTCAAGCTCCTGTAGAATTCGAGCAAAATTCTATTGTTTATCTAGCCTTTCACATATTATTTATAAATTTCATTCCAATCAAGGGAAACTTTAGCTAAACTCATTAAAGCTTCTCAAGTCTTAAGACAACTTCCTAAATCCTAAAGTTCTCTTTAAGCAAAAAACCTTTAAATTCAAAGTTTTCTTGGCTGAAATCCGTTTGAGCAGCGGAACTATGCATAGAAATGACTTCCTTGTTTGCAAATTCAGGCGCTTGACATTTCTCTAGACGATTTCTATTGATTGGCCGCAATTCGCAACTTCCGATTGTTGGCCATTTGGCAGAGGGACAGACAGTTTAGTTTGTCTGTTTTTCTTTGCTTTCCTTTGCTTTTCCCCCCGATTCTCGTTTGGCTCGACCGCATAGCTGAGCAGCGACAGGAGGCAGCTCGCCATCTCTTAACCGGGCCATGACGCTCTGCCGGCATTTTTAAGGGCAGCCAGGGTCGTCGTGGCTATAAATACTCTCTCTCTGTACGAGGTGTGCTCAAATTCGGTTTTTTATTTGTTTCTCAGTGGCATGCAATAAATTTGTATGTTTTCTGGCCAGTTGCGAGACGCGTTGACAGCTGTCGCTGAAAATGTCTTGAGATGCTTAAACTGAGATTTCCCAGATATATATATATATACATATATACTTCTCTCTCTATATATATAGATATAAATACTGTGTGTGTCCGTTAACGAAGCCGTTTGCTCATTCATCTCGTTAGCGACAATAGAAATCTCTTCCACTTTTCACTTTTCAGCCAGCTAACAGCCACGCCCCTCTTAATTGATTGATGGCTGCACTCGCTGCGTCTAATCAATTAATAATTGTGCAGCGGTATTTGCTGTCCGTCAATCTGTCAATCAACTGCTGGCTTACATCATAAACCAAAGTGTACAATATCATGTGCATTAATTACAATCCTCGCATCGGTTGCATCAGTTGTTAAGCAGTCATTGAACCAGCTGCACACACAAGAGAGACTCCAGTTCCAGGCGTTTCCAGTTGCGCCGAGTCGAACCAACGCCAAAGCCAAAGCAGGCTGCAAATTTCACCCAATTTCCTATCAATTGGCTATTCAATTTTTTATTGAATTTCTGTCTTTATTTTTATTTGTTGTTGTTGTTGCAATTGTCATAACAACAACAAAATCAGCGTTTAATATATAATAAAAGAGCCGTAGAAAAGCACAAAAAATTAGATGTCGGATAGGAGCAGAAAGAAAGATAATTTGGAAAACTAATAACAAACTGACGAAGACTCTATACACTAGAATGAAGAGTTGTATAAGAAAGAGATATATAATAAATAATAATGTGATAAATAAATGATGGAATTATAGTAAAGTTATAGTTATATAATTTTAGTAAAGCCTGTTGATAATACTGAAGAAGTCAAGTGCTGAATACCAAATATATATTTCAAGAAAATAACAAGAATGAAATCAAATATATATATATATATATATATATATATTTATATATGTAATACTTGATATTATATATCACAATAAATATATTATTATATATTATATAATATATTAGATATAATGCTCTCAGAATATGATAAATAAAATGAAAAAATTACTTTGAACTGTCTATTGGAATTTGCCATAACAAAAGATTTTTAAATATGTAGGACATATACATACGTCGGAAATGTTTATGTGAAAAATTACGAGTGCTCTGTCCAAATAATTTATGAATAATATATACATATAATACATAATATAATATATATATATATATAATATATGAATATGCATATATTGCATATATTGTCTATTCAACCTAAAAATAATACTAAATATTCTGAAAATCATATTATAAATCAAATGTAGTATAAATATAAAAGGTATATTTAATTATATTCCAAATATATATTTAATATTTATATTTATATTTATTGATATTTATATATAAATTTATATTTTTTTATTTATATTTATATATAAATAAATATATGTGGTAGTGGATAGATTATGATAGATGTGCCATGTTTATATATATATAATTGATATAAATAATATTTAATTATGTATACGCAATGTGGCCTTCTTTCACATGTTACGTAGTTAAGATCATAGTCAAAATACCCAGTTTCTCTTAGTGTATTCAACTCGCTGCTAGTGAACGATTTTGATTTAACAACTGTCTGCAGCAGCAACAACAACAACAACAACAACAGCTGTAGTCGCAGCAACTTTGTTGAACAGTGTAATCAACTTTTTTACTGCCGCTGCTGCCTGCCTGCCTCTGGCCACTGACCATTGACCGGCACCTCGACATCGACTGCGACTTGGACTTCGACAACGTCATCCAATTGAAGGCGCTGCTTAATCAGAGTGGAGCAGCTGCAGCTGCGCTCGGCTTCAGCTTCAGCTTCAGCTTCAGCTTCTATCAAAAAGGCGCACTTCATTTGACCAGGGGCTAATTTTGTTGTTGCCTTTCTTCTATTGGCAATCAATGCTGTCGCCTCCTCCAACTTCAAGTCGAACTGCCCGCCTCCCTCTCCGTTCCTCTCCAATTGCTGCTTCATTAGAGCCGCTGTCAAATTCGTTGACTCTGACCTACGTTACGTTTCGCTCCGCGCTTGATTACAGACTCTACCTCGGATACGATCTGCCTCTCTCCCGCTCTCACTCGCCCGCTCTCCCTGTGTTTCTTTCTTATCGACCCATGCATAATTTCAACTTTGAAGCTGATCAGGCACAAGATCTGACATGCTTTGTAGGTCGAGCCGAGTCGCGTCGAGTCGATATTGCTGCTGTTGTTGCCATCGTAATTTATGAGTTTCAAGCGGGAGAGCGCATTTAAATTTCAGATGCCAATTGAATTCGTAACGTTTGATCAACAAACGGTGGCCACTACATGGCATATATTAACATACGATTTTATTTGAGCAGCCCAGATCTCCAAGACAAATGAGAGCACTTCCTATTTATATATTGCAATATTATTTCTGGCTCTGCGTAAACTTCCTATGCAATGCCCACTCACTTATCCCAATTTCTAGCACACAACAAATTCCTACATATATCACTCAAACTTCCCTGGATTTGTGTATCCCCAGAGAGTTGCACATGTGGATATCTTTCAGCCGCGCCTCTTAAGCAATTGGTAAACAAAGTTCTTGAGTTTGTTTTGCTTTTGGTCGATTGCTACCTGTTGTTAAATGAAGCAGAAAGTAAATAAAGCAAGTAAATTAAGTGGCAGCAGCCACAGAATAAAGCAGAATCGTGGTGCAAGATCAGAAGACCAGACGGGCTGCGATATCGACCCAGTGACCAAGTTATGCATGTGTTAGCCAGGTCGATAGACGTTGGCCAAAGAGAAAGGAACTCGTATTCGGCGTCGTTTGCCCCCGAAAGAATTTATGAGATTTGCTTCTGCTTCTACTATTTTTTTTTTTTTTTTTTGAGTGTGCGCGAATGTGTGCTCAATATATAATGAAAGATCGTTCAGAGGAGTCGAAAGGCGGCACAGCACAACTAGAACGGCAAATGGGAACAGTTGCTACTGCTGCTGCTGTGGCTGCTCTTTTGAGTGGCGCCCCCTGGCGGACGAATTTGTCATTGCATTGAAAATGAAAAGCGCGAACGAGTTTTACAAAACGTGAGTTTTTATTTTCACAAAACTGCTGCCAGATCATTTCGCTGCAGCCGGCAAGTGAAATCGATATTGAGACTATTGACTAGCGTGTGTCTGTCTGTCTCACTAGAGATGAAAACGAGACAGACACAGAGAGAGAGAGAGAGAGAGAGAGAGAGAGAGAGAGAGAGAGAGAGAGAGAGAGAGATAGCGAAAGAGCTGACTGAGATGCCTTATAATTTGCTTTGTTTTCCCAGTGAAAATCGCGGCTGTCGAACATCTTCACTTTGCTCATATTTTTCGCGCATTGCCTGTCTAATTAGCGCTGCTTTCCAATTGTCTATTGCTAACGGTTGCCACACGTTCCAAATTGTAAAGCCACGCCCCCTGTATCGCCTCATGGCGATTGCCCACTAAAATGAAATCAAACGAAATCTTTTACGCGCCAATTCCTCGCATACTTTACGCTGTTTAATCAGCACGTAAATGTTTCGAGCTTTTATTTTTAGACCCAAATGAAACAGTTTAATTGAAAATGCTGCAATATGGCACACACACACACGCTCACATACCTGTGCATTGTATAATGGAAAACGTTGGCGCAATGAAATTATTTTTGGCAAAACTAATTGCCGCGTGCCCGACAACTAAGTGCATATCAAAGTCAAATTAAGAAACGAAATTCTTACATCAGATGCAAAGTGTTGCAAGATACAGCAAGTCAATGAGCAGAGCTTAAGCTGAATGTATAAACAACAGCTTGATATTTGTGTAAAACAAATCTATTTTCAGGTTTATCCTATGTAGAAACTTTTGAGCATTAGAAGAAAACCCTTTCTGAATCTAATCTTTGTCTACAAACCGTTCACATTTCAATTTCAAAGATTATTTTATGGTCTCTTATCAGATGCGAGATGTAGAAAGCAGCTTTTAGCCTTCTGTTTTTGTTTGCAGCTAATGGACTGCGCTTAGATCGAAGCTAGTCGAATATACTACAAAATCTTAATGGACGAAATCGATAAAAGCTCAAGCTATTAATTAAAGAGACTTCATTGTCTTCAAATCGTTCACATCTGAATGAAAACAAAAAATAAATAGACTGAGTTTATTCTACAGCAGGTGCCAGTTGTAGTATGAAATTCCGAGCAGAGCTTCGATTCAGTGCATAAAAATGAGCTTGAAATTTAAATATGTACATCAATTGCATATTCTGTAAAAATTAAGCTATA